TGCACCTACACTCATATACACTCATGCATACACACACCCATACATGCACCTACACACACATACACACACACCTATACGCACACTCATATACATTCACGTACACACAGATATGCACCTACACACACACCTATACACATTCATGCACTCATGCACACATACACCTACTCATACACACACCCATATATATACATGCACACACACACACACCCCTACACACCCCAACATCCTCCTTAACAAACCCTGCATGACTAGTTCTGGGAGAGAGACGCTAGCCCTAATGGGAAGTCTTGGACTTCCCATTCCCAGGTGCCCAAAAGTGTTGGGATTGGGAGATTGTGGAAACTTTGCTGAACAAGGATTAGCAGGCATAAATTCAACTTCCATTTTTTCATAAGATCCACATTTTAGAGTAAGAATTATTATTTGCTTAGTTCAGCAGACAGGTATTAACAGCCCACCCTGTCCTGAAAAGAGAAACAGCCTCCCCTTCAAATAGCCTCCATCCAGATCCAGGCTGTCCCTCTGCTGCAGGCTTTGGAGAAGTGTGTGGAGGAAGAAGAGGAGGGCAGAGCAGGCAGCTGCCATCTGGGCACTAGACCCTGTCCTGGGCACACCACAAGCCAGGGCCCTGACTACAGAGCGAGAAAGAACTCAGGGTCTAAGTCCTCATTGGACCAAATTCACACCAGTCCATGTAGCTAGAGACAGAATTTGCATGAGGGCTCTTTGATGTTGGGTGTTTGAGTTGGGCTTATCAGAAGTCGTGGATCTCCTATCAGGGGAGAAAGGGACATGCTCACTGAGCTGGGCTGCTGCAGCTTCTGTGAGGCAGGCCGGAGGAGGAGGTGGACCCACCAGCTCCCATCACCATCTGGGCCCTGTGGTCCAAGTAAGAGCCAGCTTCCCTGCAAGGCCTTACCTCTGGGCAGAAGCGTCGTCAGCTCTTTCCTGCTGGTTGTCTCTGAGGAGGAAACACATTGGGAAGTCTGGGGGGACTGTTTGAAGGTGCCGGACTCAGCACCCAAAAATGCACAGCAGCCATGGGTCCCATACCAGCTCCTGCCTGGATCGCCACCCCCACCACTGATGCCTGGCCTGGTTCTTCCTACCTGGAGTCTGAGCCAGGCAGAAGGAAGTGTCCAGCAGGTTCAGGGAGGAGTTGATACTGGACCGAGCCAAGCACTCTATGGCAGCCTTGTCACAGGTACACAGCAGGTGCTCACAAGCATCCCTGGACTCTGCACAGAGTGAGGGCAGAGCAGGTTGAAAGATCTCACCTGGACTCCAACATGGTAATGCAAGCGCCAAGACCGGACTCCCTATCTGCCCCACTGAAAACCCACTGCCCTTGCCCTCTTCCACATCTCATCATGCCTGCTCCACCTCCTCAGCCGCGTAGACCCAGACTGGGAGCTTGCCACGCTTTCCTCCCATGCCCACTCCCAGTCCCTCAGGGCATCCTACCGGCACCGCCTTCCACAAATCTAGAGCGTGACCATGTCTCTGCATCTCCACTCTACCTCCCTGGGCCAACCCACCATCGTCTCCTGCCCGGGTGTGTCAGGAGCCTCTTAACTAGTCTCCTGCCTCCTCCCCTGCAGTCCCGTCTATTCTCCTTGAACAAGCCCTTTAAAACTCAGGCCAAACCATGGCTTTAGTGGGTCCAGAGCCCCCCGATGACTTCCCACCTCAAAGAAAAGTCTCACTGTGGCCTGGGAAGTGTTGCATGTCTGACTCCCCGTTCACTGCCCCTGCTCCTTCTCAGATCTCGTCCTCTCCCCATCACCCTGTTTCTGTCTCACTGTCCCCGTTTCTCAAACACACCAGGCTCCTCAAGCCTCAGGCCCCATCCATGTGCTGTTTCCCTGTCTGCTTTGCTCTGCTCCAGATGTCCACAAGGATCGCTTCTTGTCACTAGCTAACATATCATGTATCTTTGACATTTTCAGTGTCTGACAATCGTGAGGACAGTCCACTGTCCTGTCTTGGTGCAGGTGCTCGGCCCATGTCTCATGAGCGAATGAATGAGTCATGTGTTCTGTGCTCACAGTGCTGCTCACCTCGTGGCCCACACCTAGTGCTTCTCTTCAGTCCTTTCCTGATGCTCCAGCCAGTCCATGTTACCTGGCCTTGGGAAGCAGTCGGACCTGAGTTCAAACCCTGACTCTGCCACTTAGCAGCTATGGAACTTTGGGCAAGTTACTTAATTTCTCTGAGCTTTCCTTACCTTGTCTGGAAATTGCAAACAGTGGTGCCCATCTCATAGGCTTCTAAGAAAAGGGGAATTGCTGTGTATAAAGCCTACACACATAATAGGCACACATAGAAAATGGTGCTAATATAGAACCTCCAACATACTGTGTTTCCTCTTCCTTCCATGCCTTTCCTGTTCTGCTTCATCTGCCAGCGTTGCCCAGAGATGAAATAAAATTCATGGGGTCACATAGCAAGGAACATGGAGAGCTGGGATTTGACTCTGTATGTCTGACTCTTACAAGCAGCAACCACCAAAGCATTATTCACCCATCATGACTTCTACCTCCACGTCCAACACTGAGTTCTTAACGCATGCCAGTCACTGTGTTAACCATCTCACAAGCATTGTTTAATTCAATTTTCATAACAAATTTCTGAAACAGGTTTTCTCCTCCCCATCTTGAGGTTCAGAGGAGTTAATTGCCCCAACGTCACACAATGCGTAAGTAGCAGACTATGTGCTCTTTCCAAGCTCTTGAGGTTGCTACAAGTATAAAATCATAAATCACGTAATCTGCAGATTGACTATTGTTTCAATTCAAAACACATGGATTGAGCATCTACTTTGGGCAAGGTACAGATGCCATCGATCCAGTCCTCATGGGCTCTAAGTGGGGTCCAGGCTGGGGTCATTGCCCTGTCATGTCTCAGCCCAGCCTTCTGGGACCCTGGAGATGCTCACCACACGTGATCTTCTTGCTGACGCAGTTGACATCTGTGCTGAGCTTGGCAGGGTCTTGCAGACAGCCCATCTCAGCAGTCTCTTCATAGCACCTGCGGTGCTGGAAGCAGCAGCTGTGACAGAGCCGGGTGCGGGGGTGGTGGAGAGCATGGGTTAGGGTTAGGGGAGAGGTAGGCAGCCCCTGATCAAGCTGTGTTGAAGTTTCTTGGTAGTGGACGCACACACACACACACACACACACACACACACATCATCTGCTGTCCTACAAGCTTCAGATGGCAGGACTATGTTACCCCTGCCCAGCATGTGGGTTTGTGTAACCACTAGGCTGGCTCTGGATCTCAGCCTATGGACTTAGAGTGAAGGTGGCCCAGCAAAAGGATTAGGCACGTGCTGGCCCTCATCTGGACACGGAATCTCTGGATGTGCCTTTAATCCCCATTCGCACTACTATCCACATGCATTGGTGGAGCCAGCCAATGTCATGAAGAGCAGCTGCCAATCTTCATCTCTCTTCCTTCTGTCTGGCCCCAGGTAATAGCTGGCTTCACTACCCCATCCCTGTCTGCTGGTGGTGGGAGATGTCACCCTGTCACTTGCTAGGGCTGACCATTTGTGGGTGTAACCTAACACCTCTAAATAAAGAAATTGACCCTTGACCCATCAGGGTCAAGGATCCAGATTGCAGTAACTATGCAGCAAAGGGAAAGAAGGGGCAGATCATGAGCAGAAGAGGCCTTTGCACCATTTTACATGTGAATCCCTGTGTGGGATGCACGAGGCAGCTTAATGGAGCAGGTGGCTCTGTGTTAAAAATAATCCGTCTCCTCTCATATACACAAAGGGTGTTCTAGACTGCCACTTAGGGCAAATGGACAGAGGGAAAGATCAGTCCACATGTTCTGGAAGCAAGGAAATTGATCAAATATTAGGACCTGGGCTGGACCCAATCCCTTAGCAGTCAGGCTAGGGTTTGACACAGAACAGCTTGGACTATCCCAGATGACACTACTAAAAATAACACGAAGGAAAGCATTTTGGTGTGAATGCACAGCTTCTCATACCTCTGTGTAGACAAGGACTTCAGGGGATAGAGAGGGAAGTGACATCTGCAAGGTCACACAGCAAGCTAGTGGCAGAGTCAGGGGACTGATCGGGCAGAGAGCCTACTATACATCAGGCTCCAAGCAAGGTGTAGACACAGCATACAGTTGGGAAAAATAGAGTGTTCAGCTGCTTAGACATAAACTGAGCTAGACAAAGGCGAGAACCAGGGGAGTCTGCAATCTGCCAAACACTGGTGGTAAATGGAGAACTGTATTGGCTTGTGGAGAGTGTGGGGAGCTCCTGGGTTCCAGCTGGATTCATTGGGAGCTCGACAATGTCTGAAGACCAGTCAAGTAAGGACAGTGGATTAAATGCAAACCTGGGCTGGACGGGAGGTGTGTGAGTTGCATTCAGATAACACCCCACACTGAGAACCTGTCCCTCTGGAGCTCCAGAAGAGTTGTGACTCTCCAGTGTGCTTCTGCCACCTGGGCAGTCCTGAGTGGGGAGGGGGCTTTCCCAGATGCCCCAGTCCTGGCACTGCTGCTCTTGGGGCAGGAGAATGTGCTGAGGAGGCTCTGCAGCCGGACCAAGAGGATCTGAATCCTGACTCCACCGATTACCAGTGATTTGTCTTGGGCAAGTTACTCACTTCTTTTCAAAATAATTTTATTTGCCACTGAGGAAACTGAATCTCAGAAATGTTTACTGATAATAGTTAAGAACTTTGAGCTTAACTCCAGTGACTGTTCTAAGCACTTTCCATTTAATGCTCATAACGAGCCTATGAGTGAGGTGGTGTTACCCTTATTCACAGATGAGGAAGCTAAAGCTCAGAGAGGTCAAGCAACTTGCCCAAGGCCTGCACAGCTGTTTAGGGACAAAGCTGGGGTTTTAGGTCTTGCATTCTGGCTCCAGAGCCTTGCTTTTAAGCACTGCATTTCCTAAGGCAGCAGGGCAGTTGGGCTAGAAGCTAGGGGCACCTGTCTTCAAAGTTTGTGCTCCTCTGCTGCCACAGTTTCTTCCCCATGAGCCTCAAAATGACTTTGTTTTTGCTTTTTTGTGGATGGTCATCCCTCTGGGATAGTATATTCCTGCCTGGAGGTTGGTGCAGGAATCAGGCAAGGGAGGTTGAGGACAGGGGAGGCTGGAGAGGCTGACATCTGTGGGCAGAGCCTCTTCCCCTGGGGAACAGGCAAGGCCCTAGGGGAGGGAGATACTCAGCCTGCTCTAGATGGAAAACCTCAGGTATGAGGCCCAGGCTATGGAGCCTGGGGAAAAGCTAAAGTGGGGCTCGGTCTGGGGGACAAAATGAGAGCCCAAGAAACTATAATGGGAACTGCAGGGCAGAGCGGGACCTGAAATGGGTTGTCAAAGGAGCTCCTGAATTCAGACTCCTTAATTTCCTCTTCCTCCACAGGAATAACGATAACTATTATTGTTGTTTTTGTTATAGCAGCTAACATTTGTAGTACTTACCAGGCACCAGCCTATGTTCTAAGTACGTCACAAGTATTAACTCCTTTAGCCCATACATGGATGCTATACAGCAGGTGCGCTTATTATTATGAACATTTACATAGGGGGACGCTGAGTCACACAAGCTCTGTAACTTCCCAGGGTCAAGGCTGCTTCCAGAACAAGGTGACACTGAGGTCAGGTGGCTCTTGTAGTGCAGACAGGAGATGAGTGGAGAGTGACGTAAAGAAGAAAAAATATACAAGCAGCTGATGACCTTGGGCAAGCTGCTCAATTTCTCATACTAACTCATAAGCAGGTTTTGGATTAAAAAAAATGTCTACATAGATCCTACCTTGTGAGATATACAAGCAGCTGATGACCTTGGGCAAGCTGCTCAATTTCTCATACTAACTCATAAGCAGGTTTTGGATTAAAAAAAATGTCTACATAGATCCTACCTTGTGAGTGGGCACTCAATAAATGACAGTAATTATTTCTGGCATATTGATGTGCAAGTTCAAGGTGGAAACAACCTGTGCTCCACCCCCATCATTTGAACTGTGTAAAGTAATTGAAATCTGGTGCGACCCACCATTCTGACAATTTAGGGACATCGGTGCTTTGATCACTCCTTTTGGGTTGGAGACAGTGATAAATTACTGCTTCCTTTCTCTGACTTCTGGGTTTGGAAGGTGTTTTAATAACTAAAGGAAGCAGTAACGGAGGATCTGAAAGTAAAATATGTTCCCAGAAATATCCCTGAAAATGCCAACAAGCTTGCTCCAGGAGACTGTTTGCTCGTGGTCCCCAAGATGGGAAACTGCCCTTTTGGTTCAGAGGAAACATACACCCTTTTTTACAGGTTTGGAGTGAAACACACTTGTTTAATTCCAAAGCCATCATTCTTTGTCAACCAAGGATATATCCTTTTTTAATTAATTAACTTATTTTTAATCTCCAAAAAGCAATTGGAGATTTACCACCTGGTGAATTGGTTAATTTATTGAGCCCCTCCTATATGCCAGGTGCTGTAGTCAGCACGGGGCGTACAAAGAAATAATATGGTAAAGACCTTCCTTGAAAGACGTTGAGTGGATCATGGAGACGACCTTGTGCACACACACTGTCCTGCATGGTAGGTGCAAGAAAGACAAGCACCATGTGTGGGGGCACCGAGGTTGCCCTGGTGCCTGGAAGTCAAGACATCCTAGAGGAGAGATGCCAGGGCAGGTGTGAGCCGTCCAATACTTTACAAAGGGGATTTCTTCCCTACCTTCTGTGCGTCTGTGTAGATGAGAGCACACACTCCATCACACTGGATCTGGGCCCAGGTGTAATACCAGTGGCGTGGGGCATGCTTCGTGGAGCAGAGTTGAGAGCCAGGCTCAGCTCCCCCTCCAACACCCTAGTTGTACTGCTGCTAGTACTATGGCTACAACTGCTTCTTTACTAGTACCCCTACCATTTCTACTACCACTGCTGCCGCTCCTGCTGCTACTACTAAAGCCACACTGCGACTGTTACTACTACTGTTGTTACTATTGTGACTGCTGCTACGGCTACTGTCACTTCTGCTACCAATCACTAGTGTTCTTGAATACCCAACACGCCAGGCAGAGTCCCAATCGATTTAACTCAATTTGGTCATTTCATCCTAAATAATAACTCTGTGAGGTAGATGTTATTGCCTTCATTTTCTAGATGAGAAAACTAGAGCACAAAGAAGCTAAATAACTTGCCTAAGATCACAGAATCAGTAAGGAGCAGATAATTGGAACTACTGGGTCATAGGTAACATTCCTTAAAACAGCACCAAATTTCCCAAATTGATGAAAGTCCCAATTAACCCTCCTGTTTCCAGTTCCTGCTTGTGATATCCTTGCTAATGCTTAGTGCTTCTAGGTTTTAAATTGTATTGTCAATCTGATGGGTAAAAGTTGGTATCTTGTTGTAATGTGCACTTCTTTTTATGTAGGAAAGGAGCACATCTTTATTGCCACTTACATTTTCTCTACACAGCAGGGCCTCGGTATCCACAGATGAGGAATCCATGGACACAGAGGGCTAACTATAAGGGACTAGATCACCCACTGATTCTGGTATCCATGGGGGGTCCTGGAATCAATCCCCCGTGGTTACCAAGGGACAACTGTATTCTCCACTAGACATTCACAGCTTTAAAGCAGGGATAGTGTTCTGTTTCTCTTAAGCACAGTGTTCCTACATTATTGGTATTTAGCTCATGTTTGTTGAAAATTGAACAGAAACCTCCATAGTTGCATAGTTGTTTCATCCCTGGTGGCCAGGACTGCTCTGAATAAAAAATCATTATTAAATTTTATTATGCAATAGAGTCACCTGGGGAGTTTATTTAAAATTGAGACTTCCAGGTTCCACCTAAAGGTATCCAGCCTGAGTCAATAGGCCTGGGATGAGTCCCAGGAATCCACATTTATCAAGCCTACAGGGGTTCTAATAGAGGTGGACCCAAACTTTGAGAAACACTAAAATGAAACTTTGCACATCGGCCATAACATTGGATCTTAATAACTCCCTGGAATGAGAGCAAACCACAGATTACATTGCAATGCAAAGATGGGAAAGCCCGTGACCAGCTGGTAAGCAGTGGGATTAAGATGGCTCCTGAGTCCCTAGTCCAGGACACTTTGCATATTTGTGGTCTGCGCAAGCTATCAAGCGGGCCTCCCATGAGCTCACCTGTTCGTCTTCCTTACCTGTCGGGCTCATCCACGGGCAGCCCTTCCATCTCAAACCTGCAGGCACAGCCATAGTCTTCTAAGTCCCGGGGGCAGAGACCAGCCAGACACTTCATACCGTTCACAAATTGGAGCAGCGCAGGGAAGTTGGTGAAGACAGCCTGCAGCCAGGTGAAGTGGGAGCCCAGGCAGTCTGGGTGGATGGGGGTAGCCTGGTGGGCACTGGGAGCCAGAGTCTGGGAGGGAGCCCCAGTTCCCTGGACCCCTACACCTCAGGCTGTGGGAGCCTCATCATTCTAGTAAGCACCCGCCACTGTGTTCTAGACAATTGCAGGCAGGCAGGTTTCTAAGGCATGGGTGGTCCCTGTTGGCTGCCCATCCACCAACCATTTCCCACGTCTTCCTTACTAAACAAAACTGAGACATTCTCAGGAAAGGTGAGCCTTCTCCTTAAGTCCCTGGGGATGCTTAATGCTCATTCTCAGCTGGTCATGGTAATCCCGTGCTTCCATACCAGTGATTGATTTAGGACTGAGTGTGAGACCTAGATCAGGCCAAAAAAACTTAAGAGGAAGTCTGTTATAGGCTTCTAGGACATATTCTTCCCCCCAAAAAAAACAAAGGCATGTAAAAAAATCCTTTCGATCTACATCTTTCTCCTTGAATGTGGATGAGGATATGCTGGCTGGAGGTGTAGCAACCAAATTGCAACCATGAGGCCCCAAGCCTAATGTTGGGAAACCAGATGCTCAGGACAGCAGTGGAGCAAGATAGAGAGAGCCTGCTGGGTCTGATACCCGTGTTGAGTATTGAACCAATCCTCGTGCCTTTGGACTGCTTGTTGTGTGAAATAATTAAATGTCTTTGTTATTTGTGTTGCTATTAGTTTGCTGAGTGGATTTCAAATAATACAGTGCTAACTCTACAGAGCGATAAGCCTGTGTAGGAAGGAAAGGGGCACAGACTCACAATCGTTGAGCACCTGGTAGGTGCTAGAAGCTGCACTAGGTGTTTTCAACAGTACAGTAGTTAAGATTGTCAGTTAAGTGCATGATGTGCTAGAGAGCGTTCACTTCGTCTGGTATCCCATAAACCCCATGTTAATCCTGCAAGGCAGATGCTATTCTGTCACCTCCATTTCACAGGTGAAGAAACTGAAGGTGAGAGACTTGCTCAAGGGATCCACCAGGGATGATGATTTGCCCTAAAGTATAGAGCAAACAAAATTGGCAAGGAAACAATATTGACTGTTTCTGACTTTAAAACTTGTGCTTGCCTTTCCCATTCTCTGCTTTTCTCACTGGAGATACCATTAAGTGCTAAATGGGGTGATCCATACTACTGATTTAAAATGCACAGGGTCACAGGAGGGAGCTTGCGGAGATCAAAGGGTACTTGATTAGTTGTG